TTATGACTTAAAAAAAAATTTTTCTCGCGCAAAACTTAGCTTATTATGAGTAGAAAATGCTTACAAACGCTGTTTTCTGTACGATAAACGGTTCCGGAGATATTTGCAAAAAACGATTTTTTTTATTAAATTTCAACACTGTATCTCGAAAATGGTGCATTTTAGAGGATAAGTTGATAGAAATTTTTTTTCAAATTTTTGTACAAGCTATCAAATCCTGAAGTCCTGCGCATATAGTATGAAACAACCTGTATATAAACTTTTCGATTGGAAAACATATTTAAATATATACAGGTGTATCAAATGTATGTGGCCAATAACTTCACCATTTCTGGTTTTAATGGTGATTTAAAAATGTTTTAAATAAAAGTTTCTTTATTTATTGTGCCGCATTTGTCGATATTTGCTTGTTTGCATTGTTTTTGTTTCGTTGCTATGGCAACCAACATTGTTACTTTAAATGGGATGCATATGTTTTTTTTACATATTTTGATAGAGGATAAATCCATCTACGCGATGAACATATCAAATTATGTATATGATTGTATAAGAAAAAAAGCGTTTTCTGAAAATATTAAATCACCAAATTACAATGAAAGTATGCGCTGAAAGAACGCCGTTGGCAGCTTTAAATGTCAAAAAATGGACAGTTTAAACAAACATGGCGCAATTAGCGATAGGATAGCTTTAAACGACGCGTCATCTTCAAAATTGTTTGGATGTAAATGGTGCCCAATTTGAACATTTGTTATAGTTTCTATATCTTGGCTTAGATTTTTTAAAGAATTTTAGTTTTTGTGATCGGTGCCTTTGGCTGCTTTCAGCAGTGCATTTTTTGTGTAATCTGCGTATCCGTGTAAATATTATCAAACAGTGTACAAACTTGGCTTTTAGTGCACTTTCCCTCACAGTACCCATACATCATTAATATTTCATAATTGTTGAATCTGTCAATTTTTTGACATTTAAAACTGTCAACGGCGTTATTTCAGCACCTACTTTGATTGTAATTTGCTGATTAAATATTTTTAGAAAAGTTACGCTTATACAACCACATGAGTTGATATGTTGATCGCGTAGATGGATTTATCCTCTATCAAAATATACAAAAAAATGCATCCCATTTAAAATAACAAACGTCGTCAGAAAATGCGCCATAATTAATAAAGAAACTTCTATTTGAAACATTTTTCTTTAAAACCACAAATGGCGAAGTTATTGGCTATATTCCAGACGTTTAATACACCTGTACAGGTGTCCCTCGTAACTTAAACAAAAATTTTAGTAGTATGGGTCGTCCGAAGCTTTTTATTTAAAATGCCGTCGGATGGCCACCACATTCGGTCTACCGGAAATAGACGATACTTTTGTTATTTTTTCGAAAACTGCTATTAAAAGTTGACTTTTGCGTAGTACTTAGCGACCGTCAAAACGATAGTTTTTTGTTAACAGGACGTAAACGACTTTTGTTTAATCCTACCTTCGAAGTTGTCAGTTTCTAACTTGTATGTCTTTCCAATCCGACATATGCGTTAATAAAAAATTATAGTTTCCTCACTTGTATTGTAATATACTATTGTTCAATCCATCCTACGTTCGAAATTGTCAGTTAAAAGTTGTTATTTATATTCAGAAAAGAAGTATCTACGACCGATACAAGTGAGCAACAAGTAAATGCGACTATTCGGGGTGTACGGTCCAGGTTTTAATTAAAGAAACAACTTTTTAAAAAGCTAATATTTCGGTTATTTATTGTAACCTTCCTCAGAGCATTTTTTATTGTTGTTTTTTGAAACTAACAATTGTAGAACAACCGAAAAACATCATCATAATTAACGGATCATAAAGGATCAAGCGAACTATTAACACAACTGGATGAATCAACGTGTGCGTACAAGATGTCTGACAGGTATAAAAGAGGTTTTTTTAATTAATTGTAAATAATTGTCATTAAAGCGCCATCTGTTGTTATCAAACCATATATCTATAGAAAAATTGGCCGTTCACCAAATCACCAACGCAATCGTAACCCGTTTGCGTTTGCCAATGTAAACGGAATTCTCTGGTGAACGCGCCGCGCCCATTTACTAATAGTTTAATTTCATCACAGTTTATGCATGTTGTTTTTGCGTTTGAATGTCGTTGCATACCGGATTCATGCAAACTACACATGATTTTCTAGTTTTACGTTGTTTACATTTCATATATCGGCAGATGTAGCAAGCACCAACGATAGGGGAAGCACCACGAAACACCCACTATCATGAGATGCCTGAGATCCTTCTGCATTGCCGCAATGAGTCTTCCTTGTACCATTTCAATTGCAATTTCCATACAAACTTCAATTGCACACAAACATGGTTGGTTAGCGAAATCTGTCAGAAGTTTTCTAATCTTTGATTCTCAAATGCGGATTGTGTTCTCTGTGAAACTCTATGTACTCTGCGTACTCTCTATGAAAGAATACTAGAAGCCAGCGCAACGAACTTCTTTTGACAGTATACTCGCGCAACATTTTATCCGTAACATCTATTCCGCCTTTAGTTTTATTATAGTACTTGGTTATCTCAGGTTTAGCTGCTTGTGCGTCTTCCACCCTAATCATATGCATCGATGTTAGAAGCACAAGGCGGTTGCCTTATTCTTCTTTGGCACATATGAACATACTGTTGCATCCAGATTATAAACAAAACTAGTCGAGTAAACTGGTCTTTCTTTAGCTCCCTGCATATTGCTTGGTAGGAATCTTTTGTTTTTTTTACTGTACCAACCAGTGTCATATACCAGGAGTTCAAAACCTTTGCTAATTTGAAGCTTGTGAAGAAATTTTCAGGAGTCACATTTCTTCCCCAACCGTTTCAAAGAACCTGTTGCGGACCATCTCATGGTTTCTTAGTATACAGCTGGGCTCGTAACGGACAACAATTTTATCCCATTGTTTGTCGGTTTGGAAGGTATATACTGTGTAAACTTAGTATGATCTCTATATGGAAATAATTGTTTGTTAATGGTAATACATTCATGCGGCTTGTAAGGTTTCTCCAAATTTTCGTAATTCCATAAAAAAAATCTGAAAAACCTCAACATCATTTTGAATCAGTCACGTGATATAGTTGCCCGTATTAGGGGCATCGCATTAATTTTCACATGTCTAGATTGCATCCAAAAAGGCGTCAAACTCAATTTCCGGAAACGTTTGAAATGCGGTTACCGCTTTGATGTAATAGGAAACCAATAATAGGATTTTGTTTGTTTTAAGTTCGCTCGTTCTTCCGGGTTAAACGCCGGAAATTAGTCACCATCAATAGTATTTATTGCTCTCACCACTCTATCACGCAAATCTTGTCGTGTGTTAACAGGTGAACTGTACACCTAATTTTTAAATTACCTCACATATAAAAATCCAATGGTGTTACATCTGGTGATCTGTACCTCTTAAGATTTCTAAATATCGCTCACTGTGTGCATTTTCATCATCAATTTCAAACGAAATTGATGTACCATTAAGAAAACGAAAATATTGAAACTAAATTTTTGCCACTCTGACCGCATGAGGATTTTCGGCAGTCCAAATATGTAAATTTTTTCTATTAAATATACTCTCTCTCAAGAATGTTGATTCATCCCTTCCTCGAACTTTCACCTTTGTACGCTGTTAATTCTCGTAAAGTTCTTGATATAGAACTTCACGAGGATTATTTCCAAAACCTAATTTCATATTGCCATTGGTTGCAAGTATGCATTACTGGTTAGTAGAAAATTCCTTATTTGTTTCATGAAATGAATCACAAATCACCTTGGGCAGTCAACTTATTATCGAAATAAGTGGATAGGTATTGTTGGTCCCATTAATTAACTTGCCAGGTCTCCCGATTTATCATTTCTTGATTTTTTTTTGTGGGGTTACATTAAAGACAGAGTCTATCAAGAAGTGCTAACAACTAACAATACCGGAAAGTATGAGGCAAAGTACTGCTGATCGAGAATTTACGATTTCTTTAAGTCTTAATGTGTCCAAAACCAAGAAAATTTTTTTCAATTTTTCTGATTTTTGTTTTTGTGATGGGCGTTAGGTTTGGGTATCTCTCGTTAAATGTTCGACACGTCCTATCTAAACGTTAAATGAAAAAAAGGCTAATGTAAGTAATGACAACAATAATACAAAGATAAACGAAACACTGCAAAATTCGTAATAAAAAAAACCAAACGGTTTCCGCCACTCCATGTATGATTTGATAAATTTTTTAATATGAGGGAAACTACAATAAATAGGTATTGGAATGTTTATAGACGATTTCTAAAGAATTAAATTCCTTTTCTGGTAGGCTAATAAAATATGGGGCGCTCCAATTAAAATTTTCGAATTTCTTGCCATTGAATGTGTAAAAACGGGGTTTTAAAGGGCATGGTGAAATTTGCGTCAAAAATTTAAAATCAAAATAACTCGAAAACGAAAAACTTTTATCAGTCACCATATTTTTTTATTAATATGATTAAAAGGTGTAATAAAAACCATAGTATTCCATTTAAAATAACGAAGTTATGATCTACTTCCGGTAGACCGGAATTGGGAGTCATCTTGGAAGTATTTTAGATCGAAAGTTTCGAATGATCGACCCGTACTACTAAAATATCAAAACTGTACGAATAGTGGAACCGAAAAAAGTTCTAACGAAACAGTTACGTGGGACACCTGTATATATTTTTGGGTCACCCCTGTAATAATTTGAATTAACCTCATTGATTGGTTACATAAATTCTGTTGTTCCACACAAAGAAGTTACACATGTTGTATTTGTGATGGCAGCACCATAGATGCAATTATTGATTTTTAAGTGAAATTGAATACCAACCAACAAGTTTTTGCAGCAATAAATAAATGCACTAGTACCCTAATTGAATTTTGACCTCCCCAAGTTTATTATTGACTTATCTCTCTCTAATTATCATTAATTTCCGATTATTTCAGTTCAAAAAAAAAGTTTTTTATTAATTTTCAGGACGATTTAGACTTCCTGCTTTATTAAAAACGGACCAAAAACTACTGAAACAGGATATAACGGCGTCTTTATCGGCGGAAGAATCAAATAGCGTAGGTTTTGTACCTCAAATTATAGAGCCGTTTACTGATAATTCAAATTCTGAGTGTCAAATGGATACGGATGATAACGACCACAGTTTTTATACGCCTCAACAAATAACAAAATCTTTAAATAATTCGAAAGGAGCTCCAAAAGCTAAACCAATCAGTGGACAGATTCAAAAAAAGAATATGTGTCCTCCAATAAATACTTTGCAAAAGACGAAATCTGAAAAACTTTATGTTAAGCAAGTTCAAGCGGGGAAAAGTTGCGATCGAAGTTCTGAAACGTCTGAAGATTTTAAATATAAAATTCCGAGCTCGCCCAGCGCGAGTTCATCGTCTAGCGCGAAATTATATAAAAGACCAACGCCGAAAAGTCGAAGTAAGATTTTTGAATTTTCTCCTCCAGTTAACGCGACGGAATTTCCGGGTATTCAAGCACCCGCTCAAATGGTTGAGGCTCCTGTTTATCATCCGAGCGAAAAAGAATTTCAAGATCCTTTAGAATACATCGAAAAAATTCGACCAACAGCCGAAAAATTTGGTATTTGTCGAATTGTACCGCCTGCTAATTTTAAACCAGAATGTAAAGTCTCTGATGATATGAGATTTACTGCTTATAATCAATATGTTAATAAGATGTTACATAGATGGGGACCAAATTTTAAAGAGTTAATGGCTATTAAAAAATATTTACAAACTCAAAATATCAGTCTTACACATCCACCTTGGGTAAGTTATAAAACGAAACCTTTATTTTATTTCAGTTATTTATTTTAATTCTTTAATAAATTAATTTTTAATTTAATTTATTTAGATTGGTGGAATGGAGATTGATTTACCAAGATTATATCAAACAGTTCAAACCTTAGGGGGATTAAAAGAAGTAATTGAGAAGAAAAGATGGCCCAGAGTATCAGAAGCAATGAAAATACCAAAATCAGCTCAAGATCGTGTTACAAAATTAGATGATATTTATTGTAAATATCTCCTTCCATATGATACTTTATCTCCAGGTAAACTAAAATTAAAAATTATTTTAATAAACAAAAAACTAAATAATTATTTATTTTAAGCTGAACGTGAAAAATTATTTGATGAAGTGGAAACTGAATGGGCGAAAAGGGAGTCAAAAGCTTTGTCATCAATCCAACAAACTGAAGACACTAATAAAGCTTCAACAGAAAGTTCTGAGTCTGAATCAGAAACGGACGATGAAGCTGATGAGTGTATTGTAAAAGGAAGAAATATGGCTTTAAACGCTTTTTATAGAATTGCTAGGAATACCATGAGTATGTGGTTTAAAACTATGGAACCTCCAGCACAAGAGGTAAAATATATGTATGGAAATGTCCATTAAAAAACGTATTTGTCAAAAGTCATCAGTTTAGATTTCAATAATATTTGCATTTAAATTTTTAATATTTAATGTTTTATGTCATGATGATTTGTTGATGCATAAGTTGGCTCTAAGTTGGTCCAACTGTATGAGGTTGGATCAAAAAATTGTAATAAAGTTTGTTGCACTGAAAAATTAAAATGTTGGTTATTAGCACATATGGGTAGAATTGCGACTTAACCTTTTGTTGTCTAAGTGCACTGATAAGTTCTGGCACTGTCTTTAATTCATTAAGAACGCTTTTAAAACTTTCTGAAACTCTGTATGATGAATCATTTTGAATAAGTCGTTGATATATTAAAAATTACGTTGGAAAAATGTGTAGATGTCACCTTTTAAAAATGTCTGCTCAAACGTATTGAAGTAGACAAAACTATTGCCATTTCATATTTTTCAATAGTTATGATAGAACTTATTAACACGTTCGCTGCCAACTCTCAAGGTAGTCGGCTCCGCGCGGAGTCGATGGCATATGGTACGATAGCCGACTGGCTCCTAGCGGAGTCAGTGGCACTGAACGTGTTAAACATGAGAGGATACTATATCTGAAAAAGAAGAGAGCAAAACATATTTATTTGATGTGGACATGCCTCTAAACAGATTTAAAAGACATGGAGGATTTTTTCTTCCATGTATTTTAAAAGAACATCAGGTACTAAAAGAACATGAAGTACCACATAGAAGTGATGATAACGAATATGACAAGGAAAATATGGAAAATAAAAATCAAAATGAAAACAGATATTAGGAAAAAGTGAATGATTCTCATCCAAAGAATATCAGAATATAAATCTTTTCAATACCTAAGTATAATTATAATAAAGGACCTGTTACTGAAGAGTTTCAAAAGTGTAAAAAAGTGTAAAACAAATTTCTACATTTCATTGAATTCCTGTTAAATAATATTATGTACCAAATCAATCTGTATGCTACCCAGAGAGGTAAATTACCACAATCTGAAAACAGAAGAACTTTAAGCTTTTTTTAAGAACTTGTCACAAGGGATATCATAAATTACATTACCATAATGGAGACATTACTGGCATACCAGCACAGATTAACAAGCTTCCTTAGTTTCCCAGGCTAATAATGTAACAAATGATGAAACTAATGATAACAATTCCAAGTAGTAATAAGGATAAACTATTTAAACTAAACCCAATGATTTGTCAATCAAACAATACAATTAAATGAAATCACAAACTACAAGTTGTAGTGTCTAGCAGACTAACAGTGATATATTATACGATTTGACATTTACCAATGATGCTGAGATTCCTGAGAAATACAGGTGTATCTAAATTGATGCGAAAGATTTTAAGGGTGATTTTTCAGCGAAAAGGGGATCTTTCATATAACTTTATGGTCAAAACCACTTCTCCTCCAAATTACAGCCCTCTAAAATTAGGGAAAAAAATTGTTTTCCTTTAATAAATGCACTATGAAGGAATTTGGAAGGATGAAATTTGGCAGATAACTAGTACTAATAAGGTGACACTTTTTGACGATTTTTATAACCCTAATATGTTTTTACAAGAGGCTGAAAAATCAACACAATAATACTTAATATAATTGAAATAAAACTATGTGTATTTATAGATGGATGGTTTTTTTAATTTTCAGCTCTACCGGTTTCGATCGTTACATTCAATCATCTTCAGGAGCAACCTAATGTAATACAAATAAAGAACATTAACTAAAACTTACAACATTTAAAATTTCTGTTGCTATTGTTACATTATGAATAAAACGAAAACTCACGTCATTAAACATATCTTGTTTATTATTTAAGCTGTTATGTTCTTAAGTAATCAAGATCAAGAAGATAACAGCTTAAATAATAAACAAGATATGTTTTTTAAAAATATGTTTAATGACGTGAGTTTTCGTTTTATTCATAATGTAACAATAGCAACAAAAATTTTAAATGTTGTAAGTTTTAGTTAATGTTCTTTATTTGTATTACATTAGGTTGCTCCTGAAGATGATTGAATGTAACGATCGAAACCGGTAGAGCTGAAAATTAAAAAAACCATCCATCTATAAATACACATAGTTTTATTTCAATTATATTAATATTGAGATGGAAAGAAGTAACCAAATAAATATTAACAATAATACTTTACATTTTTCTATTTAAAAGCTTGATTGAAATAGTGGGATTCAATACGCAATTTTTTTGTCTCTTGACATTTTGCAACTAACAAATTGTTAGTTTGATCACAAAAAATACAATAATACACAGGCTCAGGTGAATTAATTCAGAGATTGGTTATTATTAGTCAAAACAATGAAATTATGTCAAATTGATCCCAGCATTAATTTATTTTTTGTGATCAAACTAACAATTTGTTAGTTGCAAAATGTCAAGAGATAAGAAAGTTGCAGATTTTTACCCTTAACTTTAGAGGGCTATAACTTGGAGGAGAAAGGGTTTTGACCAAAAAGTTATAAGAAATTTATTTTATATAACTTTATATTTATTTTATATTAATTTTAGTTGAAAAATCACCTTAAAACCTTTCGCATAAATTTAGATACACCTGTATAAGTAGTTTGACCTAGGAGAACAAGTTCCTTTACTAGAAAAACAGAAATTAGAAAATATTTTTACTCGCAGCACTATAAGAAAGGATAGGAAAGAAGTTCCCAAAAATATACCTAATAAGAATAAAGATAAGTGGAGGTCAATATGATCATAGATTAACTGGCAATAATATTAAGTTTTTCCACTTGAAAAAGTGATAATCAAATAGTGACCTTTGCAAATAATTTTTATGGTAATCACATCACATTGTCAATAAAAAAACAGAAAGAAGCGACTCTAATAAGAATATGGGTGAAATAGATCATGCAGATCAGTTGCGATCTACTTAATTAGTGACATCATATTTTTTGGAACTTCTGGATATGACTTAAGTAAATTATTTTAGTATAGGGGTTATACTATCTAATTTGCGTGATATTGTTTGACGCTAAAAAGTAAAAAAAAAAAGTACTTAAAAGTATCCCATACTTTTTTTATACAATATATTTAATACTTTTTTGTTTCTTTACATACTCGTGCAACGAAGGGTTAACTTAGTCAAAAGCATTTACCATATAAAATGTCTAGTAATTGTAACAAATTAGAATGCAATTTTTTATGTAGTGGAGGTCGGAATTGAAAAGTAACATGATGGCGGATTGAAGAAACTAAATGTTAATCTCGTTTTCACTCATAATTGTTTTATATTTTTGAAAAGTTATTTTTTGTTTAATTTTTAAATCCAACAATGATTTTTCTTGTTGAGGTATATAACGTTCTCTAGAATAAGTCGCTTAAAACACTAAAAAAATGTGAAATGAATATTTTAAATAATCAATAAGAAAGTAAAATAATTTTGTTTTAATTGAAATTTTTGTTTAGGTCGAGCAAGAATTTTGGAAACATGTCGCTCAAAAACAAAATCATATTTGTGTGCATTCTGGCTCCATTGATTCTGGGAGCTGGGGCTATGGATTTGCTGTTACCAAAAATAGTCCCTTTGCGCGACATGCTTGGAATTTAAAAGTACTTACTAATAATAGTGGATCAGTTTTGAAGTATATGGGACCTATAATGGGTAAGAGAATAGAATTATGTTTAAAAAAACAGATAAAGTAATCAAAACTTTCTGTAAAAGCTTTCTAGAGGATTCTGATTATATTTTCTTTAAAAACTACTTATGTTCTAATAGCATTTTCGTTTAGTGAATAGGTTATTATTCCATATTCTGTTAACCAAAAATGTAACTCATTTTATACTCAATATTGCACTCGTAATTGTAATATTGCCCAAGCGACCATGGATATCGAATTAAGTGTATTGAAATTTTATTAAGATCGAGGAGTTTCATGTCGTGATTTCCCTTTATCATTATAATTTTTCCAAATTTCCAAGACGAATTACAACCGATTGAGCATCGACGAATATATAGTCCGCCGTTTTTGGATCAAAATGCGGCTTATTAAACAAAGCAAAATTGTCAAATTTAAATACACCGCCTATGTAAACTTTGAAATGCGTTAATTTAATATGGTATTTATGGAAACACCGTTTCGCCTGTGCATCTAGTAATAGATGAACAGCAGTGTGGAAAATCGTGTATACTAACTGCTATCCGTGCAAAAAGTCAAGGCCCCTCACTTTAGAGATCGGTATCTTCGTTAAAAGCCGCGTTGAAATCCGCCAGGTCGTTTTCGAAATAACCGCATCCTACTAAACCCCGATTTTCCGTGAAACTCTATGGAATATTGATAAAATAAAATATGCCCCACATTAAGAACACATCGGTTTACCACCAGTTCAAATTTGAACTGGTTGAATTTTTTCGTCAAATAGTTTTGGAGAAAAAAAGTCGCAAACTAGACAAAGATGCTGGCACTCTCAAAAATCGGATACTTTTTTATGTGGCTGAAGTTAGATTCATATTCGAATCTGTACCAGATTCAGATTTATAAAATTACAGTTGTCCAGACAAGTATTGAACATATCAATTGAAAAATCGTTTTCTGAAACTACAGAAGTTGTAGCAATCTGCGACTACCCTGGATAATTCGAATAGACCCTCTAGTATGTTCCCTGTCTACCCTCACCCTCAGATTTGCCGTAGGGGCCGAGGGGTTCCTCGTCTTCAATAGCATACTTAGATATTATTTTCTCAATAACTAGAGACTGCAGCACCCTGGGACTAGTTTAGATTATTGCATTAGGTCCTCTGGTATCCTTCTAGCCCATCAGCACCCCCAGATTTGCCGTAGGAGCCGAAGGGTGAATTTTTCAATATTCCTCGTTTTCAATATCAAATGTAAACATTATTTTCTCAATAATTAGAGACTGCAGCACCCTGATACTAGTCTAGATTATTGCATTAGGTCCTCTGGTATCCATCTAGCCCATCAGCACCCTCAGATTTGCCGTAGAGGCCGAAGGGTGAATTTTTCAATATTCCTCGTTTTCAATAGCAAAATTAAAAATTATTTTCTGAAGAACTAAAGACTACAGCGCCCTGGGACTGGTCTAGATTATTATATTCAAAGTTTATTCAATATTTAGTTTGATAAAAAAAATTAAAAAAAAAATTTTCTCTAAATTTTGAGACACATTAAAGTATTTAAATTGAACAAAGATTGCAGGTAAATATGAAGGTAACGTGGGACGCTTGTTCAAAAGACATGTTTGGTGGAATATTGGCACAATTTTTAACATGATACCACCGTTGACATTGATTGCAAGAAATGTATTGCGATTCGTTATAGAGACCACACTTAGGGCAGTACTTTTTAATATTTTCAGAATTTTCCAACAAGTACGTTTGTAGCCTAAACCGGTATTCCTCTGTATCCAATTGTTTATTTACATAAAAAAGATCATTAATATTGCCACGTTCTCCTATAACGCTCATAAAATATATAACAAATATTCCACAATTTGTGCTATCCGTTTGTTTAGGATATTTGTGGTCTTTAGCCATTTTCCAACCATTAATATTTATTTGTTCATTACGACTTTTTGTTTTATTACACCTGTGGAAAAACTTTTTAATTTTGTTAAATTTTAGTGTTATTTAACCCTTTCGCGACGATTTCTTTTCTGGGAGATATATGAGTTACATAAAACTTAGTGGTGCATATGTGTACCAGGAGTCGCGAAAGGATTAAGACAGAAGAAGACTTAAATAAAAATTGAAACTAATTGAACATAGTCACACACGTTCATATAAACCCATTCATAGCTAACTTATTGCAGCTGAACCAATTTTCCACAATTCACACAGTAGTACACGTTTTATGGATCATTTCATTAAGTGTTGAACTAGTAATTACAAGGCTGGTGTCATCAGCATAATTCGTTTTGTGACAATTCAGGCCGAAGAGTAGAAGGTCATTTATAAAGATAACGAACAAAAGCGGTCCCAGTATACTACCCTGTGAGACACCGTAGAGTGTAGTTTTATTAGTAGAAATTACAGTCTTACTTTAGTAGAGTGTGACCTATTATTTAAATAAGATGTTATAATTATTTAAATAACATGTTATAATATCGTTGGCTGGTCCCCTGAATTCATATCGTTCAAGTTTCATTACTAGGAGAAGTAAAAGCAATATGAAATTATAATATCAAACTAAATATTACATCAATTTTAAATATAATAATCTAGACTAGTTCTAGGGTGCTGCAGTCTCTAGTTATTGAGAAAATATGAAAGATAGAAAGTTGCGGCTTTCGCGAACCTGAGCTACTTTTTTGTGAAACTTACAATGGCGCAACCCAAATTTTCATAGCCCTCTTCGTTTTTGATATACAAGGAGTGATATACAGGGATATTATTTTTGAAGGTCAAACCTATCGTTTAAGTAAAAAAAAAGTATTTTTTTTTAATTCTACTTGTTTTTCAAGATGTATGATAATCGTAACTTTAATTATAATAAATCGAAATACATAAGTGGTGCGTTAATTTTGCGGTTAAGTGTATTATCGCCATATATTCCCACAACACAACATCTTCTGCAACATTATGCATCAGCATGTTTTAGTAAATTTTGCTGGTCTTTGTTTTCATACCAATTCTTTTGCAACCCATGAAGCTCTGTTCTATTACTTTTCCTGGTGATGCCAACAGATAACCTTCATTCATTAACCACATATTCCCTTTTTAACAATCCTCAATCGGGGCTTATTCACCGAGTCATTCAGTGATTGTATCTCCAGAGGTAATCACCTAGTCGCTATAATTCTGCATTACTTTATTTTACATCCTCGGTAAATCATGATGCACTACGTAAATATTTTAAACATCTACCATTTTGCACTCCACTATAATACATCCATACTTTCATCCAATTGCATTTCATTTGTCATCTAGATTACAGATATTAATTAGATTTCTATCAGCATTTATAATTGGTTTTATCAACCGTTTTATATGAGCAGGTGAATAAGAAATTTTGTGAATCCCATTTGGTTGTTATTCACAATAGACTTCAAAGTTGCAGGTATAAATTCAAAAATTTAATCAATATAAGGATAGCACGAAACTACTTCCTCCTCTAAATCAATAATGCAATATGTTATCTATCTATCTAACTTTTTTATTTTCTTATTTAACATTTATTAAACCAGTCCTTATTATATTTTCTAGGTGTAACAGTTCCAACTTTACATGTTGGTATGGTATTTAGCGGTTGTTGTTGGTATAGAGACCCTCACAGTTTACCATGGATAGAATATCTTCACACTGGAGCCAACAAAATCTGGTACGGAATTCCAGATAGTATGAGCGAAAAATTCCACCAAACAATCCTAAAAATTTCACCAAATTACTGTAGAAATAAATCAATTTGGTTACCCTCAGACACCGTAATGATTCCACCAAATTTACTCGTCGAAAATGGTGTTTCCTTATGTAGAACCGTTCAAGAACCAGGTCACTTCATCGTTGTTTTTCCAAAAGTGTTCACTTCGAGTCTTTGTACGGGTTACGTCGTCTCGGAGAGTGTTTATTTTGCTCCTTCGTGTTGGTTGGATACTGCTCAAGTAGTTTTTGAGGAACTTCGACAAAATTGCGAACCATCAATGTTTTCTTTGGAGAGATTGATATTGAGTATTACAATGGACCAGAGGTCGAGCATTGAAATTCTACGCCAAATTACTCCTGATGTGCAGAAGATTTGTGAAAGAGAAAAAACTTTGAGGGGGAAATTAAGAGAAATGGGGTTGGTTTCAATTGAAAAGTTACCAATTCCCGAATCATCTAATGCTAGGAAAAGAAAAAAGCTGCAATCTGATGCTGGTGATTATGAATGTGAGATTTGTAGAACTAATTTATTTATATCTTTGGTAAGAAATTAAAATCACTTTTTTTTATTGTATTAATTTATTCTTTTTTATTGTAGGTATCTGATTCTCAAGAAGATGTAGTGTATTGCTTAGAACACGCTATTGAGAGTGTAGAAGAGAAACGAATGGAAATAAAGAATTGTAAATTAATGTTTACATATAGTTACGAAGAATTAGAAGGTTTAGTTGATAAAATAAATAAAGCGATTGAGGCGAAGTTACAAAAAAAACTCTTGGGAAAATCTATATCGATGGTTGTTTCTAATAAGTGATAACTTAAAACAAATAGTTAGATGTTAACTTTTTCAATGTTTATCTGTTCGTCAAATTTGTCTGTTTGGTTGTGAATAGAAACAACTTTTTTAACAAAGTTGTATCATTTCGCAATAAAATTTGAAGAAAACAAGTATTATTGTGATTGTATTTAAGTACTAAAGAAATAGATGTGAATCTCCAAGCATATACAGCTTTAAATTTTTAGCTTTACAAAGTTTTAAAAACGGAATTTTTAATCGAAAAGTGTTACAAAAATTATTTTAATTGATTTAGCCTCTAAAACTGAAAGGTTTTAAATTTATAAAAATTAAAAAAAAAATCATACGAATTAGAGAAATGAATCAGTGAGATTTTATAAAAAAAAATAAAAATCGAAATCTTATTATTACGAAATTTAGAAGAAAATTTTGGATGTAATAAAAATTGATATTTTGGATACGCATATTGTTTTAAAAAAAATCTAATTAAGCGTTACTCAAAACTTTTTTACTCATTTTTAATTAGTTAAGAATTGAATGTAATATTTTTTTTTTGCTTCTGTAGTAGGGACAATAATACAATGCAATTTAAATAAATGTAAACAATTTATTTCTTTTTTTTTTTAATCCATTTATTCTTTTCAAAAATATCACTAGTCATCATTTTTTTAATGTGTTAAACTTTAAGTTATTTTATGACTAATCCTCTAATGTGTCCAAAGTACAAATAAGTGGTAGATGTGATGTGCTTCAATTTATACAAAGAAAAGGGAATGTTAAGGATTTTAACTTATTATTAATCTTAATACGATTACATTGATATACATTTTTTCTGTAATAACGTTTTAAATTTTTTTAACTAAAGGTTTACACATAATTAGCACCAAATATACTTAAACAAACCAATTATTAATCAAAACGAAATTAACAATAACCTAAAATGCAGACTCTTCATGATCGCGGATAGGAACTTAATGTTAAAAGAAAAAAATAAAATACTAATAACACTTATAAATAATATATACAAGAAATCATTGTTTATGGATACTATCATAGTTTATTAATTCCCCCTATTAATTTTAAATAAAATACACCTGTTTGAATAAATATTAAACTAATTGAATAAAGTATCAATAAACAATGACAAAATTTAAATTTATCTTCTGGTTTTAAGTTTTTCGTACAGATTGAATCCACTACCTATCATGCCGATTCAAAATGTTAAACAATTCCTGTGAGTCGCTGTTCTCTTCATCAGTGTCACTGTGATAGTGTACATTTACAGCTGAATTATCAATTAAGGATTTTCCCACTTCGAACCCATCCGCGTCGCCATTATAAGAACGTTGAATGTTGCTTTGTGCTTGGACGTTACGTATTTTATGAATAACATGCGTTATTATTCCAGTTAAACAAACCACTAAACCTATTACGTTTATAAAAGACATTTCATCGCCGTTTATAAAATGGGCTAATACCAAAACGAAAATTTCCTACAACAAAGAAATAAAAGGTAATCATTAAATACTTTAAAAAAACCGTGTAACTACAACAACAAAGTTTTACCCTTGTTTTTCCACTTACATTACAAGCCGTACATTAAAAACACCACAAAAGAGCCTAATCTTTTCTTCATCTAAAACCTTTTTAATAAAAGACAAATGTCTTGCCCATATCTTGATACACTTCAAAATTATTAAAATTCAAATCAATTAAAAAAAAGCTTATCAATTTGAAAATAACACATTTTAAGCTATCTATATCTGGGTTTTATATAAATCTAAAGCTAAATATGGGATATTTTCTGCTCGTTCAGTGCATAACAAAATTGTGGAGTGTAAGTCATGGTAGGGAGGAGAGCATGGAAACGGGAATGGATGGGTCTTTAAATTTTTATGGGAAAATTTGATGGAGTGATGGAGGTGTATATGAGGAAATTAGATTTCCAGGGAGATGTTAGAGGGGAATGTGGCGTGAGGGAATAATAGGATAAAAAAGAATAAGTCCACGATGATTATTTATTATTTTTTTCTAATTTCGGTACAATGTTTCGAAACATCGTGGACTTATTCTTTTTTATCCTATTAATACTCACCATGATGAACCTGGAGGCTACAATTGCCAAGTGAGGGAATAAGCTAATACGAGGAAGTGCTTTACCGTAGATATGGGAACGGAAGGAAGCGAAAAAAGTATGCGTGTTAGTGAAATGAGGAAGTGCAAAAACACTTAAGACGTGTGAGAAGACAATATCAAAATATTTCTAGCGGATAGTGTGGTTAAAATGAAACAACAGTATGTAGAGACGAAGCAAGAGTATAGGAAATTATTAAGGCGAAAAGAGAATGAATAGAGCGCTTGGGTGAGACAGTGAAAGATAAAGGGGGTGGCAGAAGATGTGGAAGGTGAGTGAAGGTTTAAGAACAGGAAGGACACATTAAAATTTTACGTCGGAAGTATTTTCCAGGAGATGGAGTACAAGGGCGTATTAGGGGTGATGTGGAAAATAATTATTAATGTTTAACCACTAGTCATACCATTATTAACTAATGGGCCAATATTATCAACTTGCCTATTCCGTTTTTTATAAATTACTCTACTTGTTGTTAAATATTTTGTGTTTACATATTAAAAATTTTGATTAATGGGTACCTAGCAAAATGATATCCGATATATTTGTACTGAGATTTAATTCATTTAGGTAGTTGAACAGTTTTTAATTATTTAAAAAGTAATTTTTTTTCCAAAAAGTAATTAGAAAAGTAATTGGACTGCGTTATACAATAATTGACTAAGTGACATTTTATCGTTTTTAGAGATTTTCATGCTGTCTGGTAGGTAAACGTATCCTAGAAAAAATGCAGAACACCGAAAGACCTAAAATACTATTTGTTTTAAAGGATAAAGCTAAGCGCCAATCACGTGATGATTTCAAGTCCGTTTTGCATCATACGTCTAAGAACCAACTTAGATACGACACTTAGATACACCCATAAATTCTACACTAGAAAAAAATAGATGAACCTACAATTTCGGGCTAGTGTCGTTTTCTAGATGTTAGTATAAAATTAAAAGTTGATGTCTTTTATTTTATATACAAGAATTTAAGTCTAACTAGTTTCGGCCCTTGACCATCTTCAGAGACTCCACAAATAAATTTTTTGCTTTGGCAAGTGCGTTTACTAAAAATGACTATGTTTTAATATTTGCAGGTACGAATGATGCGTTGTGTAACCGGAAGTTAAATGTATCTAAATTGCACAAAATATTGACGAAACTGGGACATACTAATGTTGTAATATTGTCCATCCCTTATATAAATCCGAAGTTTAATGTCAATGAACTTATTTTTGAGATGAATTGTGACCTTTTTAAGTACTGTGTTAGATATCAGAGTAAAGGATTATTTTTTTTAGATGTTAATGAGATATTGGGTAATTGCTATTGTAATAAGATTAACATCCACTTGGATATGAAAGCTAAATCTAAGGTTTTTAACGCGTTGTATAAGGTAATTGATACCCATAAATGTTTCTTTTATCCGAACTCCAATGATAACTTAGTTTATATTTCTACGGATGCGGTGTGTGCATCGGCGTGTGTTTGACAACGTGAATGAATTGGAGCCTTCTACCTCTTTCATCCAATCCTATCCCGTGGCGACCGTTGATAACTCAATTATTTCCATTTTTCACATTAATGCTCAGGGTTTGCGTCAAAAATTAGGTGAACTTGAGATATTTCTCGAAACTTACAATATTGTCTTTGATTTTGTGTGCATAAGTGAGCATTTTCTCTTTGATTTGGAGTTTCAGCTTGGTGTGTCAGTTGGGGGGTGGATTGCTCTTTCATACTTTGCTAGGACGGATCACATCCATGGTGGAGTGGCGATATTCGCGAAAAGAGACCGGAATTGTAGTTTGTTGGGTGACATAAATGACTTGTCGGTCAACCGTATAATGCTCTGATGCGGAAGATACGGGACAC